CCTAATCAAGAGGAGCTCCGGGCTCGATCATTTTCATCCCATATGCATACATTTACTGTGGAAGGTGCGARAAACGGCAGACATGCAATACCCCTGCCCTGTCGTGTCAAAGGCAAGTAATCACRATCCTTTAGATCGCCGATGGTCACTAYGAGTGCATCCATCGTTCACAAGACAATACGATCAAATTTTAGTAGGTCCGGGGATTACCCAGGAAACTAATGRAAGATTTTCGGAAGAAGTTCTTCCGAGCACATATTCACCAATGCTCATTTAATCACAAGCAAAAGATTGACTTATTATACATAGTTATTCATATCAGCGAGAGAAAAGAAGGAGGGAGGAAGAGACAGGCGAGAATATCAAGCCACGAGGGAAGAGTTACACTGAGATCGGGAAATGCAAAGAAGGTCCGACTTTACCGCCGTGARCTCACACCAAAGAATGGATTCGCAACAAAAAACGGGGGGGGGGGTGTACTCGCCACCATGGCCCCAGGCCAGTCATCCACTCAACTCRGATCACTCGTYTTTATTCATGCACCGACGATCCCGGCCRTCGCGTGTCACCATCCACCACTGTGATCGTCACCCCGCCAACTTAGCCTTGACGTGGCTTGCCCAGATCCCAGAGTCCGTCGTGGCGATCTAGCGTATAGCCAGCCAGCCTACCGTCAGCCCGTCAGGACTTTCCGACTCGCACTATACACATCATCTAGCCACTGCTTCCCGGAAGCTGGCTGACGAGTTGAGAGAGAGATTTGCGGATGCGCCGGCGGAATTTATAGTTGCGAGAAGGGAGACGGACGTGGGGAAAGAGAAAGAGTAGGGGAGGGGAGGGTAAGGGAGGGCTTGAGAGTAATCGCCCGTTGAAAGCMATGTTGATCCCTCACAACTCGATCTCAGCCAATCAGAATCTTCGCGCAGTAGGATTCTCCTCTTACACGGCGCTTCTCCTTGGCTGGATGGGAAGAGAGGATCAACCGGGTTTTTCGAGCGCGGGTCTTAGGGCGGGAAGAAGAGGAGTGCGAAGGATAGCGCGAAACGGGTCCAAGATTCCGATGATCAATAAAGAGAAAAAGGGCGCGYGAGGGGAAGGAGAGAGAAACACAGTAACAGGGGGAGGGAGCGAGAAAGCATGTGCGYGCAATGTGAGGCGCTGAGAAGGGCGCAAGAAAGAAGGAGGRGGGAGCTCGTTTGCATGGCGCCGAATCAGCAAAAGAAGAATGGGCACCGAAACAGTTGGAGTTTTTCCCAATCCTACGCTAATTCAAAAATTTAAATCACCATATACGCGCGAAAAGTAGACGCGGGAAAAGAGAGAAAGTCCTACGCTGATCCATATTCGTACAAAATTCCCAGAGTCTTCCATGTCGAGGCCGGGAACATTCGCGCGGGAAAGGTCGCGCCGCGTTCCGTGGATTCCGGAATTCCTAACTGTCGAGCCAAATTCCGAGCGTGCTCACTAAGGCGCGCGAATTTCCCATGCATTTTACAATTAAAAGAAATGACAGTATTTCAAGAACTTCTGTACAGATTTCAACGAGGTACCTTGGAGGGGGAAGGGGGGGCGTACTCGGAGGCCGATCAAGACACTTCTAGATGCAGAGAAAATACGGGAAGGGAAGGGGTCCGAAAGATGGCGCAGGTCCGGAWGCTGGTTCGTCACACGTCAGTATGTGCTACTAAAGAGAGAAGCCAGGGATTATAAGGTGGAACCCTTACTATTCGGATGGAAGGGAACCACAAAGATGAGGGATACGCCTCTGTATAGATATAAGCCAATGACAGGAGTAACGTTCCTAAGACAAAAGGCAAAAAAGAAACCAAYGAAGATGGCCATGGGTAGATTCCAAAAGCAAATGAGACTCCAGGGCAAGCAGCCGGATTTTAAGGGCATCTGGAAGGCCTTGAAAAAACTGCCGTCTCAAAGACATGCAGTTATAATGTGGCTGCAGGCGATGCAAGCTACACCATCAGCAGTATGGTTGGAAGGCAGGGGAATGGCAGTATACATCAATTGCCAGAGGTGTGATTGGGGCTGGGAAACTAGCATGCACCTATGGCTACACTGCCTGCGGGTCTGAGGAGATTTGGCGCTGGTGGAAGCAATACTGGAATAGTACAGTGGGTACTCAATGGGAATGGACAGATGAATGGAGCTTGCATGCTATCCCTTCACAGGAATCAAGCCTCACTTCAGGATGGGGTTACGTGGCTTTTGTCTGCAGAGGAGCCTTCATGAGTACAATTTGGAAATCACCAAATGTGAAAGTCTTCAAGGAGKAGAGAATGCCTATGCAACAGCAGATAAATTTAGTAAAGGAACAGATCCCATTAGCCATTCGCTCGGATTGGTTGGCCAAGAAGAGCAAAAGAGCAAGCTTTCGCCAAACCTGGGCAAAAGGGAACATTTGGGCTTCTGTCTCGTATGAAGGCCGGTTGGAAATCTCCAAGTGGTTACGTCGAAGTAGTGGTGTGACCTGATAGGCCGCAGAAATAGGCGGATATTTTCAATTCAGGTTGTTTGATCGATCGAGGAATCAGCAGGCTGAGATCTGGGGTCTGGTCCCACCTACCGTTGTTGAGTTCAGAAAACTCAACGTGTGACGTCTTTTTTTTTTTTTTTAATTATTTTTATTTATTTATTTATTTATTTATTTTATTATTATTATTATTATTATTTTTTTTTTTTTTGAATTTGGTATCTGATTAATTCATAACAAAATAGTTGAGGCCGGGGACCTCACAATTCAACCCGGGGTTGCTGCTGAAAAAACAGGTTCAGCTTCCTCAGAACTCAAGTGGGACCAGGTCCAGCCTCCTATCTCTTGGTGGGAAAGCAGGCCCAGCTTCCTGTGTCTCTAAGGCAGTTCACAGAAACGACCCCTCTTGATAGCTATGCTGCTATCCCAGAATTGCAAACAAACCAAGGGTACCTTGAGTTACTATTGCTGAGGGCTCCCAGCCAACTGACTGTGAACTGTTTGGGAACATGCCCCTTGTTCATCCCACAGTAGCCTAGAGAAGAAGATCTGTCCTGACTCTACTGAGCCCGCCCACCTAAATGGGTGTTCCCAGTGACCCTTAGGAGTTGTATAGGCCTTGCTCCTCAAGACTTCCGGATTACTGTTTCTCCTGTACTCAGCCATTATGAGCATCCTTACTGAATATCTGAACTGGTTTCTAATGGCAATACTGGATGATGGCTTGTCTTTAAACCTTTGATCTCTGCGTGCTAGCCACAAGATCCAAAATGCTATGGACCGGAATTTGTATGCTATAGTTTTACCGTTCGTTGCTGACGTAATTCCGGATAAGACAAAGGACTGGTTCCAAACATTGGTCTCCCCATACGCTTTGAACCAAATTGACTCTACCCATTCCCAGAATCCCCTAGCAATGACACATTCCCACCACAAATGCGCAGAGGATTCCACTCGTGGGTAAGGGCATTGATCGCAGAAAATATTCACCATCATTCCTTTCTCTGAGCACCATTCAGCTGTCGGTACACACGAATGCATGTGCAACCATTGAAGCCCCCCTACCTTAACTTCTGTTATCCCAGAGATCATCTGACAGTAAAATGGAAACCAACTATACATGAATGTCGAGAAGGACATTGGTTCAGCTCTCTTGTTCCATGACAGCCAGGACTGCGGTTTCAGCTATGAGGCCCTCGAGTGTAGTCTGTAACCCAATCTGGGAGTGTACTTGTGGAGTGGGGTAACTGCCGGAGGCGCTGAGTCTGAGGTCAGCGTCCACCCCCATCCGGACGGGTGAGATCTCGTGATACTCGTTGTCTTGTGAGAGCAGCCACTGTGAGCTAGCTGTATGCCCTCTGAAGTAACTGTGAATTTAACTTCAGTGGGCACCCCTAACCTCGAGCGTTTTTTTTTAGTGTGACGTCATTTCGACATTAATAAATTCGAAACAAGAAATAAAAAAACTGAAAAAAACGCTAGAAACAGCTTTTCTCCTTATTTATTATAACGTAACTCGGAGAAATGAAACATGTCTGGAACAGTCGGAGTGAACGTCTCCGTGAAAAAGGGATACTTCCCGTGGTGAGGGGACTGGAGG